CTTTGGTAATTTTTATGTTTCCATACAAAATGAAACCTGTGTCAAGTAACCAATTACGAATGAGCTTTAGAAGATGTGGAGCATCAGCAAACATATAAACATTTTTATCAGTGCCAGGATGAAGAAAGAAGGTTTTGTTATGTTCAACCCCCAATTCTTTCCATAATCTAATATTTCCACCCTCACAGTCACTTAAATATGCCATTACATTATAATTAATTTTGTGAAATTCAGAAATAATATTTAGTAATATTTCCCTTGTCATTTTCTGGTCAAATGCAATATCGACTGGCTGCTTCCACTCAGAAAAGAGCCCACGAGCTTGTACAACTTGCATGTACCTGTGGGGTCCCATGATTTCATCGTTTGTTACGTAATATTCTTGAACAGATTTACCTTTTATTTCATCAAATTGTAGAACAATCGTTTTCTCAAAAGCCAGTGAAATCTTCTCCAGCTAATTTCATCATCATTAAAACATGTTTTAATACACCTTGACTCATATCCAACCTTGCTGCCCAACGTCTTGAACTCAACAGTCCTGGTAAAGAATAGTTTAAACTATTTCTGAAATACAAATAACATTTTTTGCTAGAATATCTTATAGTAAATGCTGTAGCTATCTCATCTTGCGTCTAGTAAACACTCTTCTTTTTATTTGAAAGAAAATCAATCTGATTTTTAGTAGCAATAGATTTTAAGATGTTCTCAGCAATATTTGTTTTGGTAGTTGGCTTTGCATAACATTTGTAGTACTTATTTTTGTAATAATTGGCGAGATTTTTCAAATTATGCGTTTTGTTTCTAGAGTGATGTTTTAAATTATGATGCTCTCTAAGCAGGAGCTCATATTTTGCATTATAATCAATATCCACCATGTCAACAGAGGCACCAAGTTCTTGTTCTCCTTGTATATTTTATTGATCAGCTTGAGGTTGAGGAGATACAATATTATGAGGAGAAGAGCGACTTTGAGATGTGGATGGCTTAAAATTATCCAAATTTGATTCAAGTAACATACTGCTAGTTTTATTGTGTTTTTTGTAAGGCTCTAATATTGCGACTTGTATTCTGTAGAACTTCCCCCTGTTTATCTATAAAATAGTTGGATAATTTAGGTTGACACTAGGTACTGCAGTTTTTTTTTAATTTACGACGCAAAGGCAAACCATAAAAAACCAAAATTTATTTCAAGCAGTAAATTAATAGTATAACTTTATACCTAACAATTCATTTCCAAGGTCTCGTTCATGATCATTTTTTGTGAAATGTTTGGAAGTAACAAATCCATTTTTGCAAAGTTGTGGAAACCATATCCTAAGCAATAGGAAAAGAGTGAAATATTACATCAGTAACACCACTTTTATTTAAAGTCAACTGATTGCTTTTGCAAGTTGACACTGCACAAATACGACCAGGCATTATAACTAAAAATTACGAGGTTATTTAATGGTTAGACAATTACTACTATTACTTACAAAAATGTGAATATTTCCAATTTTCACCTTAATTTATTTTAAAAATGTTCAAAAAACAAAAAAAGTTCCATAATGGCAAAAAACATACCTCAGAACGAAAGAAAATAACAGAGTCTTATATGGCGTCTACTCGTTACGCCAGTTTGAAAAATGTCCAAAAGCACAAAAAATACGACTTTCACAATAACAAACTCAATGTTTCAGAAACCTAATTGGTATAGATGAATAAAAATTTAATAAACGAAAAAAATCCTCAAAAAATGTTAAAATAACACATAGTCTTATGGCAGCTACTGAAAGTGTCACCAGTGTTACGTCACATCTGCTCGGCGCTTGTTTAACATGGCGATATATGTAAGTAAGCAATCCTGTATGTCTATAATCGTTGGGCACTGATAATATTTGGATCATGAAAAAAAGCCTCCTTTGACACGTTTTTGAAGAACATTGAACTAAAAAGGTAAAGTTTAGAAAAATGACCATTGATATTTTCCGATTCCGGAGAGGGAGACTGAAAATCAAGCCCAAGGCAGCAGGCACGCGTGTTAATCAAAAAAATACTTTTTTCAAATGAAGAAATACTTGTGAAGTAAGTTCGTATTATATTGTATTATATGTACAGCGCCATCTGCCCTCGAATAGATCAAGCAATGATGTCGATAATTCTGTCAAATACAGAGCCCGAGCTTGAGAGTTACAAACAAACAAACATACATATATACATATACACAGGTGAAGCTAATGAAAGCATGTTAATAAAAAAAAGAAAATTCATCTGAAGTCATCTGTTGAATTTACCCAGAGTATTCCCTAGGGGACGTACTTACGGTAGTGAGTGGGAAAGAGACGTGTGCGACGTGATCGACGCATAGAAGGATGGAATGAGCATCGAGTAAAGTCATTTGATAGATAAGAACGCGGTGGAATTACAAAAAAAACATGTCTGTCATACAGGGTGTCTCATCGTTTGAGAAAAAACGTGTACAGGGTGTCTCAAATATGTCAGCGTGGAAAATAGTAGTATAATAATAATAATGAACGAAAAATTGGATTGAATAAAAAACATGGCCACGGGCGTTAAAGAAAAAAACATGGCTGCTGCCATACAGGGTGTCTCATCGTTTAGGAAAAAACATGTACAGGGTGTACGTCGGCACGAAAAATAATGGTATAATAATAATAATGAATGAAAAATCGGATTGAACAAAAAACATGACGTCAATATGTACAGGGTGTCTCAAAATACGTCATTCAAAAAAAAGTTTAACGAGATTCTATGGTTTTGACGTGTGATTCTTCAATGTATACAGGGTGTCTCATTTAGGGAAAAAACATGTCAGGTGTGGGGGCCTAACGTTTTAGCGTGCGATCCCAATGGGAAACGTTTGAAAATGGGGCAATGGGGGTATTCAGCAATGACATTTCAAAATACGTCAGATGCGTTTTTTCGTGTTAGTTGGGAAATGGGGGAGTGGGGGTAAAGAAGACACGTGGGAGGGTAATATTATTTTTTTCGAAAGAATGTTAATGTCGTTAAACAGTTGAAATATTCAGTGATGAAATGATATCTGAAGAATACAGACGGAAAGTTGAAGAGTTTTGTAAACGTGTTCAAGAATTGAAGAAAGTCATTCAATTTTTCGAAGAAAAAAAGCTTGTTTTGAATCGGCTGAATAATTTGAATATTCAAGACAGAGTGTTCGATCAAAAAGTGCCTCAAACGAGGTATCCGCTGCGAAGAATTCAACCTCACTGCGTAGAATATGTCGCCGCCAATGCTGAGAATAAATTTTGTACTTTTGAGTGCAATAATAAATAATGTTTTGTATGTGAACGTACCAAAGGGCGTTAAATTCATGGCAATTTGTGTGAAGCCCAATAATTTCGATCATGGATGCAATAGAACACAATGGAAATTGATGAGTTCAACATTTGTCAATGACAACCAATTGGCAGTTTTTGCAAGCAAAGTCCCGAAAAATACCTCTTTCAAATACAAATTGAGGCTGATATTCCACGATCTTCGAGAAATTGATACAAAAACTGTCGAATTCATTCCAGAACATGCAAGGCTAGCAAAAAAGAAGTCACAAATGGAAATTCGAGCCAAGGATGAAATATAATATGGGGAGTATGAAGCGTATGTTTACAACGGTTAGTGGGCCATCTGCTTGAAAGCGGTCGCTTCATCAGTTGTAACTGTGATTCTGTTCCGTTTGTTTGTATGTGAGTGCATTATCTTCAATAAACAGATAAACAGATAAACAGAAATTTGTCTTGAAAACAATGTATAATCACGTATTTCATTTGCGAAACTCAGTGAAATGATTTTAATTGAAGAGTCTTCAAAACTTTTGGTCAAAATTACGTGTGTGTAATCGAAAATTTTCATTTTTCATTTCAAAACCGAAAGATTTCGTTTTCCAAGCTATTTGTACGTATTATAATTATTTCAGAAAGTCTTCAAAACTTTCGGTTAAAATTGCGTGTGTTTTTGCAAATGAAAAACTTCATAATTTCTCAATTCGAAATATCTCGTTTTCCGTAAAATGTTTTGAAAATTTTTGCTCAAATTGTGTGTGTGTAATCAAAAAAAAAATCCATTTTTCATTGCAAAACCAAAATATTTCATTTTCCGTAAAATGT